TCCTTCTTCTCACACTGGCTTAAAGAACAGGGGGAGCCTGGGAGCACATTTTTCAGCCAACAAATCTTACTAAAACCCACGAGCTTTTGTGCGCTGACCCTCCTCTGGCCACCTCTCAGGGGTGTCGTGCACTGCGGGGCCTCTGCGCTCCTTTCAGTGGCCTGGGAGCGCCTGAGGGCCCAGAAGGGACAGGCAAGGGCCTGCGAGCGAGCGTGAGGGAGCTCTCCTTGAAGTGTCCCCTTTCCTTGGCGTGGCTGCTCTGAGGGGTGTGTGCGTGAAAGAAACTTCTCCCCTCCCAGCGACGGTCCTGGCCCCCTCCCCAGGGCTGGCCCATGGCTGCATCGTGCAACATCCTAAGACAGGCCACTTACGAAGCTGCTAGCTGCATTTGCCCAAAAGGTCTGGTTTAGCTGGGGTTAAATTCAGTTAGTCTTTTTGTGGCTTAGTGCCATCCACAACCCCAGCTTTTTTGGTGTGGTTGGTATATTGTGTGAATCCAGGAAATGGATTAGTTCCAACACCCGGTGAGCTGCCTTGCACAAGCCAGCCTCACCCTGGATTTCACTCTGCTTTTTTTTCTTTTTCCAAACGCTTTGTTTTCACGGTTCCCTTTGGTTTTAAGGGCAGCACCAAGGGGCACCACTGCCTTTTCCCCACTGACTTGAGTGGGTCCTGCAGAAGTCAATGGCCTTTGTTTGGTGTCCTGCCGCTGAGTTGGTGCAGAAGGTCTTTCAGCATAAGAGAGCGGCTGTTACCATTAAGGTGAACTTAGAGGGGTCAGGATTTCGACTGTTCCCCTTTCTATTTATCTAAGATTTTTCCAGTGTTTGCACATGTCTCTATAAATGGAGCAGAAACAAGCAGGGGTTCTTAAAAATGTACGGCCGAGCGCATCAACACCAAGGGCCTCTTTCCAAGGCCTTTCCAATCCATTCATCACCCGCAGAGGGTATTTTGAGCCTCGTTATCAGTGCGTCCATCTGTCACAGGGTCCTCTTGTCCTCTTTGGCTCCAGCCAGGACAAGGCCAGGACGTTCTAAAAACTCAAGGGTGGCACAGACTGAATCCCCCTCCCCAGCCTGGCTTCTGGAGAGAGCATCCAACGGCTCCCCCCACTGTAAGCAAGCCTCCTGTTCTGCTGTGGAAAGCAGCCGCCGGCCAGTGTGGAACGACCCTGGGGCAGCGCGCGCAGCGTGGGCAGAAATTCTCTTGGTGGGCCAAGGAGACAGACCCTCTCTGACTGGCAAGGCGTGGCTAATGGTGGAGGCCTGCTTCACTGGACTGTTGTTAGGGATTGGGAAGAGGATGCAGTGCCACCCAAAGGGCTGGGCCACCATTCCAGGGGTGCCTGCGGCCAAGGTGGCGGCCACAACCGTGCGACCAGATCCCCACTCCCTTTCCTGTGTGTCACATCCAAAAGAGCAGGGCTTCAATGCACGGTTGCGGCTGCCGTAATAACTGTTTTGATCCCCCCCTACAGACACCCCCGACAACGCCCAGCGCTTCTGTCTGGCGTGGCCACGTGGCTGCTAACGGTGCATGATGGGAGTTCGCATACCTGGGGGGCACCAGGCCAGGAGAAGGGTCTGTCCCTCTGCCCCAGTAAGATTTGAAATGTGCTGCGCAGGGGGGCTTCGCTGTTATCTCCGACGATTCGCACGCAGGGTGAGACGAGCTGACCGTACGAGAGGGAGGCGGGGAGGCGCCCCTGCCTTCCTCGGACGGCCGTCTGGCCCGCCGTACGGTCTCCCTTCCCGGCCAGGCAGCGCCTTCTCAGTGCCAAGAGGTGGCTGGCGCTGGTCAAAAAGGCTTTCGAGGGTCAGGGCAGGCAGAGGGGAGTGTGACCCCGTTGGGGGGAGGAGGAGGAGGAGGAGGAGGATCCCTGCCCAGCCCCGGAGTTAAAGAAGATGCGGCCCCCAAGGGGGGGGGGGGGCGG